GAGTTGCGTTCCTCGGGATCAGCACCTAAAGGTCAGTATCTGAGTTAGTGTATGGGCTCGCTGGATATATTTAGGGGACCCACTATGCGAGTCCAACCACTCGACCAGCTCAGCGTCTCCTCGCGCAGCAGCAATATGTAGCAACGTCTCGTGAGGATCCTTAGGAAGAGGTTTGAAGAACGCCTCTGCACCCTTTCTCATCTCGCCACCGGCTGCATCGACATTGTCCTCCCAAATGCCCTTCTTAACCTTGCTCGCGTCTCCGCGACGGGCAGCTGAGAAGACTTCAGAGCGTAGGGCCTGAAGCCGCTCCTGTTGCACGCGGGCCTTCTGCTCGGCGGACTTTTTTGAAGCTTCCGCCTGAGCCTTTTTCTGCGTTGTCTTCATTCTCTGGCGTTCCTCTGCCTCTCTTCGTTCTGATAAGGAAAACACGATCAGGAGTACCCATGGGTACCACGCGAGAACCACCGACCTCTTTCACGCTCCATTTCTATTACGGCCTTGCGCGCAGCCTCCTCGTTTGCGCGACGTAGCTCTGCAGCTTCTTGTTCTTCGCGCGCGCGTCGAATACGCGCTTGATATTGCTCGGGCGATTCAGGCGTGGTGCGATGTTGTTGTTGGTAGCCTTAGAGACTTGCTGAGGACTTCAACCACTTACAAAGGGATTGAAAGACTCACGCATATTAGCATAACGATTGGCGCGGCCTCTCATCATCTCCTCAAACAAGAACCTGGTAAATGAAGTCTAAGTCGCCGGCGACCCACCAAGGGAGACCCGAAGTCACTGACATATAGAAGTCGAGATGATCCTCGTACTCCGAGTCATACTCATCATTGTCGTAGTAATCTTCTTCATCGTCGTCGTCGTCGTCATCATAATCGAAAGGATGATACGTGTGCCTGCGTGGTGGCGAAGACGACCTGTCGAGGTGCTTGAGCAAGACGTTGTACGCCTCACTGATACTCTGGAACTGGGCAGTGGCGTCTGCATTATCGGGATTCTTATCGGGGTGTGTCTTGAGGGCCAGCTGGACCCAGGAGTCCCGTCAGTGTTAAGGCCAACGCTGGGGCTACTCGTGACTTGCCTGCTTGTAGGTGTTCTTGACAACTTCCAACGACGAGCCCTGCGAGCACAATGTCAGATGAAGAAGCATGCCTGTAACTGTAGCAGATATAGCGCGTACTTGCTCAAGCCCTAGAACCCTGTAAGCTTCAACGATGGTCGACTGTTTCTGCAGCATCGCGTCGAGGGCGGCAGGTGGCGGACTGCAGTGGGGGACGAAAAACGCGCTGTGGCTAGCGCTCAGACGCGCCGCGTTACTTTCTTGAGCCGCCGCGTGGCGTAGCCAGCCAATCAGAACACAGACTTAACGGATTAACATCACGACCATGACAACACGTGTAATGCCACTCATATGAACAGTCTCTTAGTATTACTGAACCATACGAATGGAGACCATCAAGATTCAATATCCATCCATAGAACAATGAATCGAATGAAGGCGCAGAAGACAGCGCTTGAGATGGCCTCAAGCGCACAATATGTTACACATTTGTACAATCCGCAGAAGGGCATGGTCAACAAAACCGGTCACTACAGAAAATGTTCCAATGTTAGTCCGAGTCCACCATAGGCCATTTTGCAAGACCACGTACCTCTTCAGTTTGGCCCGACGATCCAACATAGCTTCCGCCAATCGACCTTCTTTGCGAGCGCGCTTGAGCTGATGACATACGGTCAGTAAACTGAAACGCCACATCAAGTGTTTGCACTGACCTCCTTCTTGTCCTCAACAGAAACAACCGACCTCCCAGCACCCCATGCTTGGTAGACTTTACTACAAAATCTCGAGTCAGACTATACGCTGATAGCACACAGTATGGACTCACTTCGTGCCGGTCTCGTCAATCTTGGTAACGTCCGCAATACCTTCCTTCCGCTGTTTCGCCTCTTCGTGTGCCTCCTTCTTGTATTTGCTCTGAATCTTCACCCAGAATCGTTCTGCAAACCCGACTTCTTCGCTGTCTCCGCGCAATGCAATCGTCCCACCAGCCACCTCATCCACGCCCAGATACTTCTCGTATACGTTCATGAACGCAACCATACCGTCCGGGAACACGACGGGTGTCCACTCCTCCTGAGGTCCCCTAGCCTCTCGATCCGCCGACACCAACCCATGCTTGTCGCATGACAAGAACTTCCCTTCGCCCGTCCCCGTTCGCAAGTTGATTGTTGGTGAGCCGGCAACACGGGTCGTCACCCACACCTGCGACACATCCGTTGGAGTACGCTCCAGCACGCTCGCCGACGGCGCAGTGTCCTCTGTCCTTTCCTTGTCAAGGGAGTGCAGGATGATACGGCCACGCGTAGAATCGTACGTGACGCAGATTGGTGAGGGATCCGACGGGTGCAATAGGAAAGTGGGGCCACGGATATCGTTCGCGTCCTCGGGAAGCACCCAAGTCTCTGGGCTTTCTTCGTCTTCGTCTTTGCGGCGGCGACGGCTGCTGCCGCTGGGACCGTCTTCATCATCCTCTCTTCTGCGTTTCTTCTTGGTCTTTTCTCCTTTGAATTTAAGTTTGGTCGATCGCACCTTGTCCTCAGACGACATGACGCCCTGTGTGATGCCTATGAGCTTGTGCTGTAATAGAGGACGGGCTCCCAGACAGTGCCAGTGAATGTAAGCGGTCAAGAGGTAGAGGGCATCCTAATCCGGTCATGCGTAAGAACTGGTAAGAACTGGTGTTGTAGTCTAATTTGTGATCGTGGGAATTCTCTCAGTTCTGGTGGCAAGCTGCATCGTAGAAGTCATCACCGACGACCCTCAAGACCCTCAAGATGAAGTTCAACGCTGGTTAGTTCTCATTCTGACACTGTCTTGACTGCTTCTACATCGCAAGGGCTCGAAATAACGGAGAGTTTTGAATGGGAAATGGTTGGATGGATGCTCTGCGATGTCGATGCAGATGTTGTGCCAGACCGCTAATAGACTACATCCTCTGCCATGTCCTCTAGACACCTCCTCCTCTCGGCGCAAGTCTCGCAAGGCGCACTTTGCTGCGCCTTCATCTATCCGCCGCAAGATTATGTCGTCTGCGTTGGCGAAGGACCTTCGCAACAAGTACAACGTATGTACAGTACCCTCTTGCGCTGCGTTGCGACATATTTCATGTCCTAACATCGCAATCTAGACACGTTCCCTACCTATCCGCAAGGACGATGAGGTGCGGATTGTGCGGGGAAAGTACAAGGGTCGGGAGGGCAAGGTCACGCAGGTGTACCGTAAGAAATGGGTGATTCATGTTGACCGGGTGCAGCGTGACAAGTCGAATGGCGCGACCGTGTCTATTGGCATCCATCCCAGCAATGTGGTCATTACAACGATCAAGCTGGATAAGGACCGGTGCGTACGCAGCTGTGACACATGGAGCTATTCACTTATCGTATGAGATATCCATTATTAGGCGGGCAATTCTGGAGAGGAAAGACCGGAAGAAGACTGCCGGCGCTGCAGGTGAGGATGTCGAGATGGTTGACGTGCGTATTTGCCGTTCTGGGTTGCATTGCGATGAGACTGACTGACATCGCCGTGCAGTGAGTGGCCCTCGATTTCTGCTTTTCTCGTTCCAGTTTGCATCGCATATCAAAAGCATGACTTGTATGTATGCACTTTGTCACACATATGCTACCATGGGCCTTTGGCCGCAAATGCTACATACTTCGACTCAATGATCACTTCGGAAGGGACGCGATGCATATACATGGGTCTTTTGGTTCTTGTTGCAAATTGTCGTGAGTATTGATGCACGAGTTGTGACATGGAGATGAGGGAGGGATATGCCTGCCGGTTCAAAAAATGACATCCTCGTCTTTACTACTCAACAAATCACCTCCGCCTCCTGCATGTTCGAGGGAAAGCGACTCTGGAATTATGTCAGCCTGCTCAAGAGCTTTCTTCAGCGCTTCGGCTGCCTCTGCATCTCGCTTCTTCTTTCCTTGCACTTTCTTTAGGCTACGTCATGCGGAGTAGTGAATACTCGATAGCCAACAATGACTAGAGGAGCCACGCACCGGAAGAACTCCTCCCTGTCCATCTCATCGAGCTCACTGGTAATGTAGCTGATGGTGTTCTCTAGCCGCGGTATCACGACGTGTTCAATTGCGTTGACGCGGCGATTGGTGGCTCGGATGACTTCGTCCAATATCATGAAAGCCGTCTGCAGAGAGGCCAACTCCACGAGCGTCTCCACCGCTTTAGCATAGACCTCTTTCGCCCGTAGTACCTGCTGCCCACCGCGACCGAGACCGGTGAGGTTGAAGTCTGTCCGTGCAATTTGCAGATCAATGGAAGGCCGGACAGCAAGAATGGCGATGTCTTGCCTGTTCCTGGTGCACGATCGACCTCAAACGCAGGGAGGACCACCCCGGAGACATTCTCCTGTTTCGCCTTGACTTTGAAAGACGCAGATTTGGCCTGCTCCTGGACGAGATACGAGATGTCGCCTGTAGCATAGGTAACTTCTGCCAGAGAGAAGGACGCGAGTTGCATAACGCGGCCCATCTTTCGTTTCGCCTAGGTACAAGAGACATAGCACACGGTTATGTTGATGCGACAAATGCGATCTAATCAGGCGTAGCAGACGTACTTCATCGACCTTCCGGAGGATGGCTCGGAACCGCGTCGTAAGCGCATCCCGCTTTTTGGCTAGCAAAGAATGCCCAGTCTGTGCGCTCTTCAGTCGTAACTTCGTGTTCGTGAGCGCCATACGAGTTGGGAAAATGCTCTCGCGAGGGCCCGTACCAGACATGGCTGCAAGTAATGATCACGAAGAGCAGGCACCGTCCAGATGCAGACGTACGTATTCTGTCGTCAGAATGAATAATAGATATGATATAGGAAGTATATTTAACACAATACTTGCATTTGACAATAGATAATGTATATGTCATTTCCCATGCCAATCAAATACATAAATTAACAGGACACAGCAAAAGGAAATGCCAAGAGCGTGGATTGAACACGCGACCTCCAGAAAGCCGGATCACTTCAGTCTGTTGCTCTCCCAGCTGAGCTATCTCGGCCTTGCAAATATTAGATATTCATTGAATTTAGGATGAATGCCCATGTAATCACAATTTCCTCAAGTTCAAAGGCACGCAAAATGTATGGAATGTACAAGACTCGGTAGACGGCTCTTCCAGAAGGCAGTGGTACAAGGGTCATCCTCTACTGAACGTACAGATACAGTACACACCCTCCAATTTGAATTCTACTCGGAAACTGGTCTCCTAATCCAGCCAGTTTTGCTATTTATCCAGAGAGTCATCAGTGAAGGACGACGAGGAAAATGCAGAATGACGTACGAAAGCGCGGTGATGAGCCTTTGACCCCGCATCGTCGATAGCTAGGACTTCTTCGTCCGTGAGGCCGGGCAAAGTCACGGTCGCCAGATATTCTTTGACTCGCTCGAGCTTGGTACTCGTCCTAGAAGGGAGGTTTACAATCGACACACATGATGGCAACACAGTCACGGCACCTACGTTATGGCAGGGATCTTCTTCGCACGCAACCACAGCTGCAGGACCTGCACTTCTGTGACAGGCTGTCCAGCAGTTTTCTCTACCCTCGCCCGGATCGTCGCGAGGACTGGATCCAAAGGTCCTCCTTTCCAGCGTGTGATGGGCCCCAGTCCTCCGAAGGAAGTCAAGAGGATGTTGTGCTTTTTGGCATATTCAACCACGGGCTTCGATGCCTTGAAAAGGTAGGGGTGGTATTCGATCTGTCGGCATGTTAGCCCAAGCCCGCGATAACAGACGTAACGATGTCAACGCACCTGGTTGACTGCAGGCACGACGGTCGCGCCGTCTGCGATCACTTCAAAGTCCTGGACGCGGAAATTGGACACGCCGATGCTCTTCGCCAATCCCTCCTTCTGTAGCTCCTCGAACTGCTTCCACACCGACTTCAGGTCTTTCTGCTCCACCGGAGAGTGGATGAGGAACAGATCGACGTAGTCCGTCTGCAGCTTCTTCAGCGACAGCAGTAACGTGTCGCGAACAGACTTCCCGGCGGGCAGCGCGGCAAGTTTCGTGGTGATGAAGAGGGACGCGCGCGGCTTGCCCGAAGCTACGACGCCGGCGCCGAGGGTGTCTTCATTACCGTAGGACTGGGCACCGTCGAGGTGCACTATGCCAGCCTCGATGGCTTGCTGCACTGACTTATCGCTGTCCTTGCCGTACAGAGCGGTACCAGTGCCAAAAGCAAGCCAGGGAATGGTGTTCCCGTCATTGAGAGGAAGTGTTAAGGACGACATGAAGCGCGAGGATGGGCTGAGTGAGACCTGGACAGAGTAGCGTCGAAAGAGCGCGAATACCGACATGCCTACAATGATGACCGTTATATATGTTTTCCAGGACCGACTCATGGTCAGGTGCGGATGATGCTCATATCTAGAGCCTAAGACGATTACTTATCGAGAAGGGGCCCGGGGATGTTCTAATTGTTGCACAGCTCCAGGCAAAGGATCGGCCAGGCTTGAGATAGATGATTCCGGTAGTACGACATCCCTGCACATGCCTGGGTTCTTGGATTAGTATGCTCTCGACAACATGGTGCAAGAAGACGATGTGAGTAAGCTTGAGTAGCCTTGAGGTCACCGGTCGGCTGCCGAGGACCCGAAGCCTGCCCTGAGCAAGCAGCGTTTATAGCTTGCGTCACGGACAAATGGTGCCGTTTATCTTTTAACAACTACAGGCGCTGGTATACCACATGTTGGATTGTCATTCTCCTCGACGATCTTCCATCTCTTAGCAGCCTCAGACAGAATATACGGTGCACTCTTTGGCCGGCCTATCTGGCACACGCCATGTAGAAAGGACGGTCACCTGGTGTTTCCGACAATCCAAATTATCCTCAGCATCTACTTTGCCCAGGCTGGAGCTCTGAAGTTGTACATAGACTGTGTCATATTTCAATTCTATCAATGTTACTGCCCCATGTTGTCCACGAGATGCCATACTTAACACGCTAGAATTAGAATCATCAACCTGATCAAATCACCGAAATACCATCTACAGAGGGTGTGGGAGTTGTCCACATTCAGATGCGTTTGAGATAGCACTGAAGAGCTCGCATCGATGTGATACAACGTTGCTGTCTGGACATGCTGGAAGTGGTGACATCGATATCGGATCGCATCATAATATGTTTCGTAGGAAGTGGAAGCACTCACGTATAATCTCATCGAAGGCATGAGCAACGTACGCGTCATAAAGCCTATATCGCCGACAATATTGGTCAGTTGCGACTGTGGGCAAGGAAGTACACCGCTCACAAAGGCCCCGCGACAGGTGTTGTTCCAGGCATATCTATGCAGACGTCAGTCATCGAGGGGAGCGGGCAACTACTTTTTCATAACTCACCACTGCTCTCGGTGATGAGTTGCGCCTGGACATAATTTCATTATACCGTCTTCCAAGGAGACAAAAAACAATGACGTTGACCGTCTGCTCAACACGTTAGCGCGCCCGCTATTCCGAATAGTATGCGGGGCACTAGCAAGGCGACATCAGCAACCGTGCTTACTGTAAATCAAGAGCGAAGATCACAGGACGTACCATTTGCCGTCGCAGGTGACGATGACAGAGCTTCCTGGAGATGACGCCGCGATGGTCCCGGTGGTTTGGATTGAGGATGTCGGCCGCCTTGTCGAACCGAAAAATGGCATTACACATTGTTGTCGCAGGCCGGGTAGCTTGAAGGGATGTCAGTGACCGGAAGCATTTCACATGTCGTCCCATACAGCGTTGCAGTATTTGGCCGAAATGACACGAAATGTGACCACAATAGCCGGCATGCATGTATCCCTGGCAGCAGCGGCGCACGTAGGAAACACTTGACAACGTTCATTCGACTCGAAATGAGATCACGTGCACCGTGCACTCATATCTCAGACTCTAGATCTAGTGCTTACGCACTGAGCCAGAAGCACCACCTCGTCCAATTTGTTACCTACACTAAGGTGCATCGTCTAGATCGCCCGCGGAGGCCCACGGCCGCGGCCCTTCACATTAACACCCGTCCCGTAGATCTGCGCCAGCAGACCGAGGACACCCCCATCTTCCAGCTCAGCCTCCTCATCCTGCTCCTGCTGCGACTGCGAGGCCGACACGCGCGCACGCCGGTCGCCGTTCACATACGAACCTCCCAGTGCGCTTTCCACCCCGCCATCCGCCGCCAGGTCCTCCTCGGCGATCGCACTCACCGCGGCCTTCTCCGCGCCTACCATAACACTTCCCTGCGAGTCGCCAAGCACCGCCGTCTGCGCCATGTCCATCCCCCCGACACCGGAATGGAAGATCGACGAGGACGAGGGGCCCGGGCCGCGCGTGCTCTGCGCGAGGACGCTCCCGCGCCTGCGCCCGAACTGGCTCTGGCTCTGTCGCAGTGCGCGTTCGTACTCTCGCGCCTTGTCCGTGGCGTCAGGGAGCTGAACTGTCGCATCCATAGCTGCTGCTGAGCCCGCGTCCGAGCCTCGGGAGCCTCGCCGGAAAAGACGGCGTCGTCCGAGACCCACTGGGTGCGCGGCGCTGAAATCGGCCATGCGGCTCAGGTAGAGCGAACCGGAAGGATCTGTCGGCGTCCACTCGGGATGCGCTGCCTGGATGTAGAAATAATTTATGAGTACGGGAGAAAGCTGGGTGACATTGGTAATTACCTTAAAGTTGAGGAAGCTCTTCTCCATCTTGCCCTCCTTAGACATCAAACGCTCGTCGTTCACCTTGGTAGGTGCGCCGAACTGTCCATGAATAATCAGCGCTCGATGTTCCGCCTCATACTCTGTGCAAGTTCACCTTGATGTTACCGTGCCGTTGGAAATCAAACACAGCAAAACTGCACACATAACCAAGGCCATCGACGTGCACGGTGAACTCGCGAAAGAAGTCCACAATCGTGGGCGCACACGGAGGTAATGAATACCAGAGCACCAAAGGAGTCAGGAGGACTGAGAGTAGCTCTTGCACGAAGATCATTATTTTCATTGCAAACAACTCGCCGAATTCTTCGTGCACCTATATCCGCGCTGTTCAATCGAGTCAGCGAGTTGTTGGCAACCACTGGAACTGACCTTCTTAGAGTGCAGCTGGTCCTTCCATTCGTCTGGCATGTAGTGACTGTATTGCACCACCTCGGTCATGAGTAGCTCGGGGTCGAACACTTGGTTCTCCGCCGGAATCATTCCTCGAGCAACTGCAAGACTTGAAACGAACACTGTCAGATAGAACAACACGGTTCGATGTGGCGTGACTTCGAAGTGGAGGAATAAGTCGGGGTCGATGACGGAGGCCAGCAAGAGCACCGCAGCGAACGAGCCAAGGATGAATGAGACAAATCTAGCAAATTCCAACGGGTGGAGATCAGCGAGAGTGCCAGAGTGATAGCAGCATGATATGCACCGGACGATCAGCGTCAGTTTCTCGTTTGGGAATTGGCCTATGTACATGCTGGCCATCGGGTACGACTCGTTTAGTCTTCGTTTAAAGAGGTGGGGAAGCTCGTTGAATTCGCGGAATTTCCACTGAGCAAATGGCGTGTAGCGCCGACCTCCAATATTAGACGGATTGTTGTGATATTCCTAGATCAAGGCACAATTGAACTCTCCATAAGGCGAGAAGTAGAGTGATTCGCACCTCGAAGTACCGAAAGAACGAGTACATCAACAGGTACAGGACAATGAATGGTGCGAAGATCGCATTCAGAATGCCCATGAATATAAGTCGTCTCCGTAATCTGCATACCATGAATTAGTGGACAATGTTCTCCTTTTCAATATCATTGCAGCATACCCTTCAATCAACACCGTCCTGTTTTTGGACTTTAAGAAAACTTTCCTTACCCTGCCACTGGGGTCAAACAAGTACTCCATCAAACAGAATCTTAGGTTCCACTCGAGAGCTCTCGTCAGTGTCCGGCCCTTTCCGGCTTCCCTTGAGTCGATGAAGCGCTTGAGGAAATGTGGAAGAGGAACGCGCAAATCCAGAAGTTCCTTGTTGAAGAGCGCGATGAGGTAGTTCTCTTGCCG